TTATCACCATTATTTTATATTGTATATTGATTACTGTGATACTGTGTAAACTTTTCAAATTGTTTTATATTGCAAACATATTGACAACTGCTTGATTATAAGCAAGATGAGTTCATACTACTTGACGATTTCTATATCTGTTCGGTTGTTTAAACCATGTAAGGATTTTATGGAATGTGAATAAATGAATGAATGAATGGGTATACACACCCACAGTATGTAGGTCTCTTAGGAGTCTGGGTAAGGGGAGGATGTGAAAGGGCGAGCAGTGGAGCTCTGTGCTTAAGGAGACAGGCTTTGCTTAGTTATTATCCATCTTTAGTGTTGCACCACAGTCCGCTGTTTGACCTTCCAGGACATCTGTTGCAACCCTCACTCCCACCTTGAGGGACACTTTATACTGCACCTAACACTCAGCTTGAGATGGCAAATGTAGTAAGCACTGAAATACTGGAACAGCATCAGCACCCAGTGCAGCTGAACTGTGAGAGCCAAAGTAGCTTTTGTTTGTTTATTTAATGACATTGTCATAACGCAAATATGTATAGCAGTGGATGGCAAGATGACAGATGGAAAATGAATCAGAAAGGATTTGGAAGGAAATGGTCATGGGCTAACTAGAGATATTATCCTGGCGTTTGCCAGGAGGGAGTGAGAATCCCCCCCCCCCAATCAGGATTATCAGTGCCCTGCCCAAGATTTGAACTAGCCACCTCCAGAATGCAAGTCAGAAGCATTATCACTTAAGTCCAATTGCTTGGTATAAGGTATTGTCCCAGTATTTTCCTTTGGGATCTGAGGACACTAAGAAATCTCAGGATGTCTATTTTCCCTGCTGAATTTAATATCGTTTAACATTTGAGTATGAAGCAGGGATGTTAATTATTGTTTGTAATGCTTAGTGAAACAGTTTTTCTGTTTTTACTTTACAGAAAAGAATAAATTTATTAAAAACCCATCAGTTGCTGAGGAGAAGAGTGGTGAAAAAATTGCTGTTGATAATGAAACTGAAGTTAAAGATGAAGACAGAAATGAAGAGGAAGAAGTTGGCATGCTGGGCGAACCTACATAGCAGTCATGATGCAGTTCCTATTGATGGTTGTGTAGATTCTACATAAATCATGCCAGAATGGGGCCCTGCCTTCATTTTATTATAGTCATTAACTATTAACATTGAAAAAGAATGTTACAAATTTTGTTTCTAAGGTTATAACATTCACTTCTTTTATATTATAAAATTGAAACAACCAAGCAGGTATATTAGGTATCTTTGAACAGTAATTAAAATTATATGACATGTTTACTGCTCTATTTATTTCTGTTACTTCCTTGAGCAGATGAAAGTTATTTGTAAGGTTTGGAGCTTTCATGGTGAATAAATGTGTTAAAATCTTCTTACTTGATTTGTTGACTATGCTGTTTGTGGAATGGTAGAAATGTCTCATGTAAGGAAAGTTGAAATGGAAGATTTGAGGTTTTCACTGCGGTGACTATGAAGAAAGCAGTCTTCTGGGATGTGGCACCATGTAGATGTGGTGTCTGCTTGTACCGGTACTCACGGTCTCTTCGCTTGCGGATTATTTATTTTTCTTTCTACCCTGAAGATGGAGGCGATATGTTCCTCTGAAACATCGGTTAACACCATATCTTCACGGTGCCACATCCCAGAAGACTGCTTTCTTCAAAGTTGAAATCGTTTGACTGATTCTTATATTAATCTCCAGTATTAGATTGCATGAAAGTGCATTATTCTTTTCTTGAATTATGTCATGTATTCTGACAAATGGATGGAGTGACTTAATTCAGTCCTACACAGTGATGCAAACATGCCTAAAATGAAGAATCTATGGTTGTGGGAACATCTGTATTTCGGTATAAATAAGCGGTACACATTTTAAAGAGTATACTTCATAAGAATGTGTTTTATTTCTGTTTTCAGACTTCATATTCTATCAAAGTTCACATCTTGCTACAATGTCAGAGTTATGGGAAGGAACAAAAGTTAGTGAAAAATTTTACAGTTAAGACTTCATTATAAATGGAGAGTAATGAGGAGAAAACAACAAAATTACTGTAGGATTCATAATAAATGGCTGAATGATGTAATTGTTACTGCTCATGTGAAGATAAATCTTGGCATATTTAGGGCTGTTCATATGTACATAGGGCACATACAAAAGAACTGGACTGATGCTATAAAATCTGTTATTCACCCTCAAAATGATCCCCTCCATGCAAATTTTCTACTGTTGGAATGAATGCTGCATGTCCTTTTCTGATAGCTTCTTCCTTACCTCTGTCTCTTTTGTCTTCACTGCAGCTGTGGACACAAAACAGGTTCCTTTCAATGCAGACTTGATCTTTAGAAATAATAAAAAGTCACAGAGGGCTAGGTCAGGTGATCAGGGTGGATGCTGCACCACGGGATCTTGTGCTTCAACAGCAATGTTGTGACAGACAGTGGTTTGTGTGCCAGCGTGTTGTTATGGTGAAGAATCCATGAGCTGTTCTTCCACATTTCAGGTCTTTTCTTCTCACCCGTTCATGAAGGGTTGTCAGAACTTCCTTATAGTAGACCTGGTTAATGGTCTGACCTTCAGACATGCAATCAATATGAACAGTCCCTTGTATATCAAAAAAAAAAAAATGTTAATCATTGCTTTGAAATTGGACTTGCTCTTCATGCTTTTTTTTTCTTGGTTACCTGGGACTCTTCCAATGCGTACATTGGCTCTTAGTTTCCGGATCATGCTGAAAAAACCATGATTCATCACAATTTATTACATTTCCTAAAGTATGGATCATTTTCAATGTTTATAAGGATGTCAGCACAGATGTTTCCTTTTCCTCAGGAGTGAGGATTCTTGGCACCATCTTCTAGCACACTTTTTTTTCATGTTAAAATGTTCCTGTAAAATCTATCAAACACTTTCTTTCTCAATGTTAGCTAATTCAGCAATTGATCGAATGCTCAAGCAATGATTTTTTCAATAATTTCACCGACTTTTTCAATGTTAGCATCTGTTTTTGATGTGCAAGGCTGACTGGGAGTGGATCATCTTTGATGTCACCCCTTCCCTCTTTAAATCTTTTGAACCACTCGAAAACTTGAGTACAAGATAGACACTCATCACCATAAATTTCAAACCAAGAAATTGTAGGTTTCTGTAGTGGATTTTCCAAGTTCTGCGAGGAATTTCAAAGTTGCTCTACTCTAACACTTAACATAATTCCAATGGAGCTCAGATACACAGTCTGCTTCAAACAAAGGCTGCAACCACACTGTTGGCTGTACGGCCTTGGAAGTGGTAGGGTTGATGGAAGGGAGAGGCTAGCCTAATACCTGTATGCCACCTCACTTGCTGTCACCAAGGCCACAAGGAGTTGGCAGAAAAATCAGTCGGGTAATTTTTTTACTGCTCCTCATACTCTAAATATTTCAAGGGTTATAGTGGCACTGTTTTATGTCAACAAATATGCTTTGTTAAATTTCAGTATCATGAGTTGCAATAGTAAAGTAGTCACTAATAACTCTTTAAAGCATAGTAGTGACTATGTGGCAAGTGTTTTGATATTCAAGAATTCTGTATTTTGCTTATAGGGCGTATCTATTTTTGTTTCTTATGATTCTGAGAATAAAGAAAACATTAACTGATTAGTCACTATAATGGAGATGAACTGTGTTTTCAATAAAGTTGGAAAATGAATTTTTAAATGTTAAGGTGAATTCCAGGCTTCAAAGGGTTGCCTTGAATACACTTACCTTTGTAATGCTAGTGCTTCAAAATTGTATTTTGTGTGGGGACATTTTTTCCCTAAAGATTGTCCCTCTGTCAGATACTAACTGAAGAAAAGGGTGAAGCTATCCCTGTAACAGGCCATGGAGGCCTATAGGGTTGTGAAATATTGAAGCTGCCACATTTTCAAGACAGTTGGCTGACAGATGGTGGTGAGGCTGTCAACCTTACACGCTGGCCACGTTTTACCCTCCAGGAATATTCCTGATACTCATTTCTGTTCGAGGCTGAGTCGATCCCAAGGTCATAGTGTGGCTGGAAGGATTAGATCACTTGAAAAATCCAGTGACCTCATTGGGAATTGAACTTTTGACCTTATGCTTTGTGGTATAGTGTCTCAACCAACCATGCTATTGCATGCCCCCACAAACTGTAGAGATCTAAGTTAACTTATGTATCAGTTTTATTGGTGCTTTCAGCCCATCACTGAGTTCTGTAATTTTTGGAAATGGTTGTTGTATGTCACCCCATCTGTTTTTTCTCTTGTTTAGACTTTCAGGTGTTTAGTTTTTATAACTGGAAGTTATTGGCATCCTGAGAAAGGAAGAACTTTGTCACCCATGGTAAAAAGTATAGGGACCAACCAATTTGGCCTCAGATCAGGTTATTTTGCAGAGGGGATGTATTGCCTGGCTGTTGTGCCAGTGGGATGCCAGCATCATCACAGTGGGGACTATTTGTAATGGTCTCTACTCCTTTGCCCACAGTAATCCCCAAATGGGTTCATTTGAACAGGCCCCACATATCACAGTTCAGACTGTATGACCAGTGACAATTCAACATTTTGCCAACGTCTTAAAAATACTCCTTTATAAATTCATAAATTCTCGCTTTCACTTATTAATGATGACATTATTCTAAGCTCAAGGTTAAGTATTTGTGTGTAACAATGGCTGCAAAATGAGTTTCATGACAGGTGATATAAGCCGTAATTGACATTTGCATTGTTCATATGACTGCCTTGCATCTAGGTGCATTAGACTCAGAATGTTAGCTCCTGGTAGCCACAGCACAGTTAGCGTTATACTGACTTCTTAGTCTTTTGGTTACGGAGTGTCTGCCTCTTCAGATCATTTCGCCTATAACAGGGCTGTGCAACTTCAAACCACTGTGGGGCCAATTAGAAAGAATACATTTTTTCCAATATCAGAATACAATTTTTAATCCAAGTATTTGGGCATGGTAACAGTGCTGAGTATATAATGAGGCCACAAACAATGCTGCTAGGTCTGTGATGTCCACAAATCAGGCACTGAATATTACTAGGTTGTGTGGATACTATGTACGTAATTCATGCAGTCATGCTTAATTCCATACTTTACAAAATAATTTGTTAGGGCTCAAGTGAAATAAGAAATTACACAGAATACTAGGAAGCAAAGTACATTAATTTGTTGACAAGATATGCTGCCTTTTTTAAAGAAGAGGAAAACATTAATAATACATTTGGAGAATGGAAGGATGCTTAGATGGCTGCACAAAATCAACTAATGGGCCACGTACAGCTAGCATGCCTCAAGTTGGACAGCCCAGGCCTATATTCACAATAGTGCACAGGCTGCTCAATAATTATCATCCATTTTTATTACTACTTCTCTGCTTGAGCTGAACAGGATGTGTGTCACTGGAACATATGCGTGAATCACTCTGGCAATTATATGGAGATATAGAAGGTTTCTTTGTTATTTTGTTGTTGATGTAATAATTGCAAGCATAATATCCTTATGTTGTTTACTACACTCCTTGTATGGCTTCAGTGATGCAGGGACATTTATGGGTCTGATGGAAGAACTTACAATTTTGGAAATTGATCATTACATTTATTGAACAGGGAGATAATTTGGCTTTTCCTTTTTATTCTCTTTCTGTTGAATTCTACTAAATTCTGTGCTATGGAGGACATGATAGACGTCTTAAACTTTTTGGAAAGGATCATGTCAGTATGGTAATTTATTAGCTAACGGTGTAGACTGTACAGTTGCTCGATCCTTGGGATCAGTGGACGGTGATTTGGAACCTGGAAAGATAAACAGGTCAGTAATTATTGTTTTGTTTATCTAGTATATATACTGTGTTACATTTACTTCTTTCTCAATGGACCCTGTACAGAACACCTAAAAAATATTAAATATATTGCATACTCTTGCCAGTATATACAGTAGGCATGGCCATTAATGCAACATTCCAGTATTGCGATACAAATTTTGGAAGTTATTTCAATCCCCTTTCCCAATTGTTTTTCATTATACTGTAATTTCTGAATTTGAACTATTCCTTCTGCAAGATTTTAGCTACTGCATTTCTGCTATTAATAAGAAAAGCAACCATATCCCAGGCAAAGAACAGGCAGTTCTACCAGTTTATCTACTATTCAGAAGTTAAATTTCTTATGACCATATTTTTAAGGATGCTGTCACTGATGTAAGAAATTCAGAATTTCGGTATTTTTTATGTGACCAGGTAAATAAATTACTTATTTAGTTTTCTTATGATTTTTCTCTATGACTCACAGTTTATAAAAAACAATTTTCTGAAATGTCTTGAGGCACTTGATAGTTAATATTGGAAATCCACTCATATTACAGATTCCCTGTCTAAAAAGTAAATGTAGCATTTGTATTACTTACGGTTCTTCAGATGTTTCTTTCGTGGATGATTGGGACATGGCAATCCCATAAGGTGCTGTCTCCATCCATCTTCATAAGGTGGGATGTTGCAGTGACACAGTGGACAATGATTCGTTGTTGATTCTGGTCCAGCAGCTGAAATCATTGCATTCATTGGTTTCAAGATAAAATGGCTGGCCTACTGTGAGCATATCTGTGCCACTGTAGAGCAGACTGATTTCATTTATTCTTTTGGATTGTCTCCTCCAGAAGTGAACTACACATATGTGAGCGGTTCCCTAAATGTCATTCTTCCAGACATTTGATCAGTCCACTCCAAATTAATCCTAGTTTTAAAGGTATTTCATTATTTTTAAGATCATCATTGTCATTCTCTCCAGTATTAGTCCTGTTGAGACCTTCATACATGTTCATGTTACAAAACAGAATCCTTCTTTCCCCAAGAGTAAAGTGGAAGGGGCGTGAAGCTAACCACTCACTTGCAGCTAGTGCCAAGGTCAAGAAAATGTGTATCTATACATCCACTACCCCATATGCCTTCATGGCATAGTGCTTAATTTGTTGAGCACAGGAACAACTTTACATTTTTCTTTTTTTTTCTTTTACCTAATCCTTCCAGCTGCGCTATGGCTCTGGGGTTGACTAAGCCTCTAACAGAAATGAGCACCAGGAATTTTCCTGGGGGCTAAAGGGCGGCTGGCACATAAGGCTGACAACCTTACCACCATATGTGAGCTGATTGTCTAGAGAAAATGTGGGAGCCTCGACATCTCACAACCTTATGGGCCTCCACGGCCTGTTACAGAGATAGCTTTACCATAATCAAAGATCATATTATCAGACTGACAGAGCTCCCACGCAACTTTATATTACCAACCAATAGTAGGACATAATCCGGGAAGGTCAAGATGATCATTGGGGATGGAATGGGCTAACAAGCTCAGTCCTTGCAGATAATGATTTTTTTTAGTATTTACCACCATGAAAAATTCTGCAGTTGTATTAGTCACATTGTGTACTGAGTAGTCAATTGTTTTCTATTTCGCTGCTTTATTTTTGGGTTGACAGAACCTACATTTTATTCATTAGGGCCTTGGAATGAATCATTAACTCTGCTATCATGGTTCAAGCCTATGACCAGTGGTGGGTTGTATCACCACTTAATGACGTTAATAATGCATGTTCTTCATCTGTTCATTTGTTATTCTGATAAAGTGTGCGTAAAACATTTGATGGTGCATCGTTGTCAGATAGATGTGATCTTTACATCAACATTACAAAGTTGCTAAATTACTTTCAGCTTACAGTGGGAACCAAAATTACCCAACTGGAAATCTTGCTCAGCTCACAGACTTCTGTAAGGTTGTGTAGTCAAGGTATGACATACCTTCAGAGATGTTTTACGCACACTTTATGAGTGTTCTTGATATCAACTAATTTGTTTATGTGCAGTACTCACGATTACATGATGCATCTGACTTGTGTTGGTCAAAAAGTTCATAGAGAACTGCTTCTGTGCATGTTTCACACTTTCGGTATGACTTTCGCATCTCACACTCTTCTGTAATTAATTAAATGGGTACATTGCTCCGAAGTTTCTGTTAATTCATAATATTGGTTTTATAGCTCCATAATATTAAAGCTTATGAAATTCTGATATTTTTTATTGGATAAACATTATGATTATTACTTTGCAGTAGCTGTATTACAATTATCTGTGTATTTTATTCACATTATATCATGAAAGTTAAAAAGTAGTCTCAACACATGGTGACTCAGTGCAAGAATTCTGCTCAACAGACAGTTTTATAGAAGACAGGCTGCCTACCCATTTCACAACAATTGCTCTATACCACCTACTTACTATCACATAACATAGAAGTCATATGAAATACTTTTTTTATATTACATAATATGTATATAAGATACCATTTAATGTGCATTATGTGTGGAAAGAGTAAGGGAGGATATTGAAATGAATTCAAAAACATTTCCACTCACCAGCCTTGATTGAGATACTTCCCTTTTGAACACTGTTACCAAACCCAAAATATATCTGTGTCTGTCTTCTGTTTCAGACTGAGAGTTCAAAAAGAAATAATAGAATGATGGGGAACAAAGTAGAAGAATTCCATGACATGTGCTTTGTCTTTGGGATATCTGACAAAATTCATCTTTGAGATGGCTGCCAAAATTGTTGAACATATCTTTGATTGGATCATTACCTTCTGGAATGTGACACTGGTAGCCTGTTAGATGGATACCAGTATTTCAGCAGAACCTACAGACTATGAAATACTGGTAACTACGGGATTACACAACATAACATTCCAGAAAACCATATGTTAATAGTCACTACCATGAAGAGTTCATATCTTGTATATCTCTTATTGCTTACCTAGCAAATGTTGTGAAAGAGTGGCTATTTCCACCACTTGCTTGCAATGTGCACATCTCATCAGCATGGGGCATGAGCGCCAATAATGGATGTTTAGACCTTCCTCAGTAAATGAATCAAACCGGGACAGACAGAAGATGCACATCCTGATACAAGCAAGAAAGCAAATTGGTGCAATTGAAAATGTATTTAACATAACTACCTTGCCTGTCTCAGTGGATACTATTTTCTGAAATAGGCTACAGCTATCTTCTCATACACCTGTACTTTTCTTCCTCTCTTCCTGCCCCTCCCCCCTTCTTCCTGACTACCAACTCCACTCCATCTGTCAGTTGAACTGCATGCTCTGATTGGGCCTTCACAGTTTTGACTTGGAGCTGACAGGTACTGTGGCTGTTGCAATCCATGAGGCAGTTAGGCAGACCTCTTGTTGTTTGCAAGCTGTCTAACTTGTATTCAGCCCATATTCTGAATCCCAGTCTTTGCCTTGAATTTCTTTGGTTTACTCACCTACAATGGGTTCCCCTGGTTTATGTTGTTATTTTTGCCCCTCAAGCTAACTGCCAATTTTTCTTTATATTATTTAGTCTTGTGTCATTTGATTATTTTGATTTTAGGTACTAGCCCTGTAATCCACTGCCCTGCAGTTGAATAACCTCACCAAGTTCAGAGGTCACATTTGTGAAAATATAAGAGCGTATTCTATATCATCTCCTCATTATTGTTTGTTTTCTCTTCATTTGTTAATTATATTGGGTCATATTTCTGCTGGGTCACTGACTCATTTATTGCTTTGTTCTAAACCCAGGACAGCCCCAAACAGCAGTGAAGAAGGCCCAGTGGTTTGTTGCCTCATTCAGCTTGTCCTTTCCTGGACCCACTTTCATGCTACTTCATAGGATCTGTACGCAACTAATTGAAATGTATTTCATAAGAAAGTCACAAAACTATACATAACTGAATGTTGTGGCCCAGTGGGTGGCAGGCCTGCTTTATAATCTGAAGGTCCTGGGTTCAAGTCTGAGCCTGAAGACCACCTAGCCTGACCAAGATTCTCATTTTCTTTTTTGCCCCCATCTTTCCATTTTGTTATCACTAATCATCCTACCATTTGATACTATCTACTCTGAACTACTGGCATCATCATTGAATGAATGATAAATACAGCACTATAAGTTGTTCAGTAGGATATAAGCTCTTGAGATGTGTGAGAGGGAAGGTAAAAACAGTGTCTACTAGTGGCGGTAGTGCATGTAGGGGAAGAGCCTTCTCTGTACTACTAACACAAGAGGTAACTATGGATTGAATTACCACAGTGCTTGTTGCAGCAGCAAAGCAACTGCACATGAGCCATAGCTCATGTCCTACCGAACTTACTGTATGTAACAAATGTTTCCAATGTTGGATGTTCAACTTGAACCCACTGAGGAGTTGCATTATAATTTGGGTATCCGCCTGTAGGCCACATTATAAAAACCACATGTTTTTCAAATAGCAATACATGTATCTGCCCTGCAGTGATCAGATTTGTGAAGCATATGTAATAACAAGTTGAAGTAAGAAAGAAAGGCAGTGATTATTATTATTATTCAGTCAACACAATTCGGGTATAAACACACCATGCATTTGCATGTAGTGCATATTTCAGACTGCTACAGCCATCAGCAGGTACATAGAGCTTTTACAGTCACCCTTCCTTCTATCTTCTGTATTTCCCTACACTGGTCAGTGTTTACATATTGGGGGTGCATGTATGGGTATGTTGTTTATGTAATGCCCTTGTGTTTTAAATGTATTAAATATTAACATTAAAACTTTAAAAATACATATTAAAATGATGTAATTGGAATTAAAATTGGGTTATATGTTAAAGGTATGTGTGTGTGTGTGTGTATTTTCTCTTTTTGCTTTATGTTGTTTTGACCCTTTTCTTTGTGTTGCCAGATTTTAAGTGGTGTTTGCCAACGTGCATTCTTGTTTTTCATGGTATTCTTCCTTTAATCTTATGTTGATTCTGTGGTTGTATGTAGGCCTATGGGTTTGTGATGTGATGTTTTCCTGCCTACAGTTGTGTGATGTGATGTTTTCATGTTCTTTTCTTCTTGAGGCCTGCCCTTATGTGGCGAGTGTGATGGCCGCAATAGGCTGAAACATGTAGCACATGCAACTGCTTGGTGTATATATATATATACTAGAATTATGTCGACTGAATAATAATAAGTACTGTTTTACACACAATATGACACAACAGTATACTATTTCTAAAGTAGGAAAGATATTCATCTGATAATTAGCATTGTTAACAAGATTTTATTTCTTTCTAAGGAGAAGGAGAATGTTAACATGCATTTCTTAGGCTGCAAGTATACTTTGCAGGCTGCACAAAAGGGAAGCTGGAATATAATGTTAATCTGTCACATTTCTGTGCTGTCATGGTGAGGAAAGTTTGTAGAATTATGCTTTCAAGAAAGTGGTGCTAAACACAGCATTAATTTTACTTACCATTTTTAGAGGCCTAGGATAGGAGTAAGCACACACTTATCAGAGAGAACTTGGTCAATCTGAGATATGTTTACAGACTTCTTTTTCTCACAGAAAGAAAACTTCACTCCTACCAAAGATGAAACAGTTGCAATATAAAGGTTTCCAGTGGTTTGGAACCTACATTAAGCTGTAGATCTCCCTGCCGACTGTTATACTCATGGTCACCATATCATTGGAAGTAAAGCAGCTGCCATGTAGGTAACCTGATGTAAAATATGCAAAGTACATCCCAACTGCATGGGCAGGAGCTAGAAGGCTGAACACTCTGTATCTGGAGGTACTAATAGCCACTTACTTATCATCTGTTGCGTCCTGCTGTGATGTATCACTAGGGGATGTGATGGCACTAGCTGAACTGGAACTGCTTCCCTGCCCCACTGAACCCCCACCACTACCAGCTCCTCCTGCTGCAGTGACCACAACCTGTTTGTTTCGCTCCAGGATTTCTTTCTTTCGCTGTTAAGAAACCAAATTAAGTTACATTAGAAGCTAGATCTTATATTACCAATGTATTGGAGGAAAATACTGCCTCAATTTTCCAGCTAGTAGTCAGTTCTACCCAGAAAGTAGAGTATGGGTGATGGGTACCAACTGCCCTTTGAGACCCGGTACCTGTCTTACCAGACTACACCATGTGACATCCCACAGGATGATAATTTTACCTTACAATTGTTATCTCTCATTTAAATTATGATATTATAATGATTAATGACATTTGGAGTAGTTACTGCCACACCATTCATAACCACTTATGATCTTGAGGTATGTTCTATGTTCACTCGTTACTTCATTCACTGCAACATCACTTCTCGCTCACTGCACTCTCTTCTTCTTTTGACTTCCTTGTACTACACTGAACTGAGCTGAAAACTGACTGACCCACTAACTACCTCACCAATTTACTGATTAAATAATTCACAGATTGACCAACTAAACACTCACTTGGGTGCTCTGCACTGCACTGAACTCGTTCTCTCTTCATCTGCTCTATACTGAACTGAACTGAACTGGACTCTCGTGAAAACTTGATAATTACTCTTCTTAGGAATGTCACGGTGGGGAATTTTTAGCGAGTTGTTGAGCAGCTTTGACTTTCGCCAACAGCTGAGTGGCTTATGGATGCCAGGTGATGCAGTCGTCCCTACCCACTGCCCCTGAGACAGTATAAACCCTTGGAGCCTAGTTTTGTTCGTTATAATGGCGGTCACAGTGAACACATGTGTTCTAACAGAAGGGAGGGGAGCTGGCAATGCAGGTATCTTCCCATTTGGATTTTTGGAATTGTATAAAAACTGAATATACCAATGATTGGGTGAGATGAGTCAAATGGAAACTTTAAATTGCGAAAGAAAGATTGCATTCATGTGAACAAAGTGGCTGCCATGTTGGACATCAGTCATGGTTCAGCTCACCATATCATAAATGGCATCTAGGAGTTCCACAAAGTGGGTGACTAGATAAATGACTCCAGAACTAGAGGAAAGAAGCGTGGGCCCCGCCAGGATCTTTTGTGATGATTTGAAAGAGAAGTTAATGGCTTCCTTAAGTGCATAGTGACTGCAGTTGAAAACTAGGTCCACTACTACCAGCCAGCAAAGAATGCCACCATTCTAGCTCACCAAAACCCAAATAAGTTCTCACCCAGGCCACTGCGGAGAAAATGATGCTGGGACTGTTCTGGAATCATCAGGGCCAATGTGTAGAATGCTACACGTCCAAGGGGAACACGGTCACCAGTGCCTTGTATTTCAACCTCCTGAGGAATCATCTGAGAACAGCCATTAGATGAAAACTTTGTGGCCTACTCAGTACTGGCATCTTATTGCTACATTACAGCACCAGGCCACATATTGTCCGTGTGACAGCTGAAAGTAGGACATCAAGGACGTTCAACTGTAGTGTCTTCCTGATCCGCTGTACTCTACCACATCTTTGGGCCATTCAAGCAGGTTCTCAGTGGAAAGACTTTCCCATCCGACGAAGAAGTGCGAGAGGCAGTGCATGAGTAGCTATTCATGCAGACAAAGGATTTCTTATCATGAGGAATCAGTGGAGGACATTCATTGAATGCAACAAGGACCATGTTAAAAAATGACACAACTCTATAAAAATTATATGCCTAAATTTGCTGTTAGAAGTATTTCCATAATCCCAATTTTTTTTTTATATAAATGCAAGCCTTTGTTATTTTATCCTACCTTTAGTGTCACACATTTAAATAAAAATCGGGATTATGGAAATACCATATTATACCCATAATATATTTGCAGAGTCCTATTCACCAAGCAACTGAACCGCAATTTGGTAGACACTCAAATTCCTTTAAAGAGAGTCAATATAAAGGACATGAACCAAACTGGTTCAACAAATTTTAATTTCTCTTCAAAACCACATTTGTGAACATATTAATTGTAATAATTTATAGATATATTGATGTATTCATGCACATTGCTATAGTTGTTAAAGGATCAAATTTTATATTCATGGCATTTTGATGATATTGTATGTATGTACTGATATTGACCAGTCACATTGTAGTAGTAGTTTCTGCCTGCATTGATATATCCTTCTGAAGATGGTCTCACAGACTAAAACAAGTCAGGATGAAAGATTAAAAAGAAAAGAAAGAAATAACATTTTATCAGTCACACTGGACAGAGTTGATTAATCTTTTATAATAACTGCTAGTGTAACAGACCAGGATGAACCAAATCAAGCCCATCAGTAAGTTTTCAAACAAATTTCTTGGCTGCTCCCCTCATGGAAAAACAATCTGCGATATTCAGACCCGCCTTGAATATAAGTAATCTTCAAATTGTCTAATAATGAAATTCATTGATATTCAACTCTTTCTGAATTGGCGGCACCAATCCTTACATAATAAGACAGTATCGTCTTTGATTTTTGATCGAAACTGATGATGCAGTTAATATTTAGTGTAGACTGCAGTGCCAACCAAAGCATAGCTGCTAGTAAAATTATGAATAGAACACATGTTTACTTACTTACTCATGGAGCTGAGCCCTTCTGGAGGAGCCGCCAATTCTGCAGCTACTCAAGAATTTCCCAGCATTTTATGGAACCCAAAGGTTCATTACTGTGTTCACAGGAGCCATCCACTGGTCCCTATCCTGAGCCAGATCAATCCAATCCATCTCATCCTATCTCTAGTATATTTTTTTAATATATTTCTCTTAGTGGGGGGTGGAGTCCAACTGGCTCCACTCAGCACGGCGGCCACTGATTGGCCTATTGTACCTGCCCTGGGTGATTATGATGATGGAGAATTTGGTGGAATGAAGATTGGCAGGGGAAACCGAAGTACTTGGAGAAAACCCGCCCCAGCGCCACTTTGTCCACCACAAATCCCACTTGACCAGACCCGGCATCGAACCTGGGCCGCTGCGGTGGGAAGCCAGCGACTAACTGCTTGAGCTATGGTGCAGCCCATCCTATCTCTCTAAGAGAGATTTTAATTTTATTTCCATTTTAATATTGTCCACCCACCTACGCCTTGGTCTTCCCAGTGGTGTCTTTCCTTCTGACTTTCCCACCAATATCCTATATACATCCCTCGTCTANTTTGATTTGTTATCGTTGTTCCCAAATATCTGAATTGTGCCACATTTTCAAAACATCTGTTTCCTATATTTATGACATGATTTTGCCCTGCATTTTGGTGATGAGACATCAACATATACTTAGTTTTCTCAGTGTTTTCTTCTAGACCAACCTCTTTACTTGCATCAGTTAAAGTTTGTGTGTTTTTCTTTATGGTATCTACATTATCACCCAATAGATTCATGTCATTGGCATAGGCCAACAGCTGATGTGTCCTGTTCAATTTCAGTCCTACCTGGTTTCCCTGGATCTTCCTAATGGCATATTCTAAAGCAAAGTTGAAAAGGAGTGGCAATAAAGCATCTCCTTGTTTTAGACTATTCTGGATAGGAAATTTATCAGACAAATATTTACCTACATGGACTTTACTATACATTTCGTTTAAACATATTTTAATCAACCTACCTAGTTTCATGGGTATCCCAAACTCTATCAGAATATTGTACAATACTTCCCTCCTAACTGAATCATAGGCTTTTTTGAAGTCTATGAATAGCTGATGTACTGTCTCATCATACTCCATTTTTTCTCCAATATCTGACGAATGCAAAAGATCTGATCTGTAGTTGATCTGTTATGTCGAAACCCACACTGATGATCCCCAATGATTTAATCTATATATGGACTTAACCATGAGAGAAGAATATTGGACAAAATTTAGAACACATGTTTACCATATAATAATGAGAACTCTAGTACCTTTTGAACAGCTGTTTGGAAATCTGAATATTGTGGTGTCCATTTAAAATATAGTTGTTTGATTTGACAGTTATTTGGCTCACTCTGGGGTCAATCTGTGATCTTCCCAGTTGTGAGAGTGTGTTGTTTGAAGGCAGACATCAGTGTTATGGAGAAGCTCCCTCAGCATATTCCTCCAAAATATCATTATCCACACTCAAGACTGCAGGGCATTGCAACTCAGAAGACCAAACCCTGAACAGTTACCACCATGAAAACCTCAGAACTCACTCTTTGGCGTGGAGAATGGAAACAGTACATTCCTATGAAATGCTGGTAGATTGCCAGACTAGACAGTATCACATTTGAGGAGACAGAGTCACTGCTGTGGGAACTGTAAATGTAACTCAAGTTCGTAATTTGTGTTTCATGTACCTGAATATCTATTCGATCAAATTCATGGAAGAGCTGCCTGTACAGCAAGTTACGTCTTGTAATGTCATCATCGGGCGGCAATTGTTTGCGAACAAGTCGTGGGTTTACCCTGTATACCAATGTGAGAATTCGTTCGGCCACTTTGCGTACTGCCTCCGCCGGGTGGTGTAGTCCTGACGACCCAAATTCTGACAGAACTCGACATGTCAGACCACTGAAACAAGAGACCTTAATTTTGCCACAGTTTTATCATGAAATATTAATTCATCATAGAGAAAGTAGCAAATTGTGGCAGATAGTAAAGTTAATATGCTATGAGCAGGATAACTAGCCTTCAGTTAAGATTACAGATACCCTGTCAGTGTTCATTCTCTGTGAGAAGAATTGCTCTTTTTTATTTGTGTCATTTTCTGTGAATATGCATTATGCATATGCAATATGCATGTAATGCATATGAAAATGTGACTTCTCTGCTTTTGACTGTAGACCTAAAATGGAACATCCAAATATATGAAACTTGATCTGTACTCTTTCAATATATACAGTAGCTCTGTGATGTGCAAATATTGTAGTAGCACTTCTGAATCTGGCTTATATCCTCATTCCCATTTTTTCTCTAAATTTCAAGAGGAATTTCAGTTTATTGATTTGAATATTAGCCATTCTTCAAGAGTTTCAACTACAATTGCATATTGCAGTACACTGATATTCTTCAGTTTGTAGTTTTTGCTCACTTAATATTCAGTTTCAATGATCCCAAGCCAATACTGATACGTTAAATTACTTCGAGTGAAAAGTTTCTTCAGTTTAATGCTAGAATCCACTGGTTCCAAAATAAAACTTAAGTAGTACTTTTACTGATTGACAAGGAAAGCATCCATATCTGTGGTGAATTGGCTAAGATTGGAGCTGAATATCCGTTCATAGGACCTGAACCAGCCTGTGGCATCTCTATAGGAGTTGCGAGAGAAAGACAATCAGGGACTGGATATATATGAAGCACAAGAAATACTGGGGATCCTTGACTGGACTCAGGCAAGCAAAGGGACTCATATGAGGACCCTCAGCTAAAAGAGTGAAGAAACTGTTGAAGTTAAACAGGAACCAGCTATGATGGGTGGTGGGACTACTTACAGGACACTGTCACCTCAAAGGACACCTCTTCAAATTGGGACTAAGTAATAGTTACACTTGTGAGAGGTGTCAAGAAGAATATGAAACAGCGACACATATCGTGTGTGAATGTGAGGCCTTAGCTTATTTAAGATTACGTCACTTGGGTCAATACTTTATGGAACCAAGTGACTATTTCGATGCTCCCACATACAAAATCCTGTGCTTCATTCGAAGCACAAGATTGCTGAGGGGATAATCAAAAGAGGTAGCACAATAGACCACTGTAGGTCGCGGTGCAAGGGCCAAGAAGGCCCACCCCTTATACATTCATTCATTCATACCACAGCTTCTTAGTGGAAGAATCTTACCTCTGTTTATCAGTGGAGATGCCATGATTAAGCACAAGTTGTTCCACCATCTCAAGGCGACTAAGTGCTAGCCTGGGGTGTGTGCTACTTGTCAGAGGTCGACTGAGATGGACTGGAATTAAATGAAGGTCTCTGCAAGAAAACATTGCTGTTACACAACATGTCTGCAGTAATGTAGAATTCTGCAGNCACACATACAAGGTGCTATCAGAAAATTCCCAGACTATTATTGTCACTGCCTTGGTGAAAGATGATGAGAGGGGAGGCCAAAGTCACACTTCTGCAAGCCTATTGCATCAATCTGCGACATGACATTGCACTGTGAACATGCATTGTTTTTACACTAGTCCTTTTTCAACTTTGTGTTTCGTTTTATCTGTGATGGATGGCAAAATCGAGCAATGTGTCTGCATCAAATTTTGTGTGAAGCTCGGCAAGTCCGCTACCGAAACCCTTGAAATGCTTTGTGAGGTTCTTAGAGAACATTTTCTAAGCCAGACAGTTGTTTTTGAATGGAATTCATGTTTCTAGGCCTTTCGAACATCGGTTGAAGATGACAAACGTCCAAGGCAGCCAAGCACCAGGTAAAGGACACAAAATTCTAGAATTCATCAACGATGACTGTCGCCAAACAATCCATGAACTCTCAGACACCATTGGGATTAGTTATGAAGTTTTCCAGAAAATCTTAACAGAAAGTCTGAACATGCGCCACATGTTAAAATTTTTATATTTTGCTTGGGGTCATTGTCCAACAACATTGTCTGAGGTCTCCTTGTTTGGATTCATTTGCACAGTGGCATGAGTGTTTGTGTGTAGTTCCCAAGTATGTTGATGTAGTTATCATCTGCAATGTGTATTCTGTTTGAGTGTACTGCTTTCTTTATGCTTTCGGCTACTGTGTGTTTGTAAACTTACAAATGAAGCAACTACATCCTGAGTGAGAATGGGTCCTTCTTACAGTTCGGGATAAAACTAGTATGACGTTTACAAGGTCATTAGTTTTAGGCAGTGTTTTTTCTGTAAAAAGAAAGGTGCAAATATGCATTTCTTGAAAGTAAATTTGAAAAGTACCTCTCCATCCTTTCTGTTTACAGAACCCCGAATCCATCTTGAGTTAACTTTATGATAAACTTTCATCACGTTGAAATAAGTAAATAATGATTTTTTAAATATTAAAGTAAAATAAGACATTTGGACATGCTGTTTATGGCTTTGAATATAAAGAATTAATACATGAAAGCATACAAATTGAGTTTTACATAAAATTCAAAATTTTCATGACACTCCCAAAAAACTCCATGGCCTGTAGTCCGCAAGCAAACTATATTGACTGAGCGAGCGACTGCCACTTGTCGGCGAAGTTAGTGCCAAATTTGTGGATATAGGGTGTCATGTGGTCAGCGCAATGGATCCCCATGACGTTAATTCATGACACTCCCATCTGATGCAATGTCCTGACTTCATTTCTTGTTGGTGGTGCCTATACCTGACCGATGTTTTCGGTGTAACCATGAGTCCACCTATTTTGTTTGGTCAAAGTGTGGGAGGGGAGACTTACAGTTGTAATAAACAACAGTCGTGCAACTGTTATCGACTCCAGAAAACTCTGTTTGGACTGATGACCAGATTAATTTTAGAAAATCCTCGTTCACAGTCAATTGAAGAAATGAACATGATACTCAAAGCACTTCAAATGCAGCTATGTTTCTGGAACCATCCTTTCAGTCTGATAAAAAATCAGCGAAACGTATTTCTTTGTTTAGTTGAAATCTAATTAATAAATTCTAATGGCAATCTTGTAGAATGTCAGTTTTGAATTTACCAACGCATTGCTTTCCTGTAGGTGAAGTGTCATCGATAATTTTCTAACTTCAGTCTCGTTGGATGTTAGCTGAATATTAACATCTTAAGGCCACTGTCTCTTATCAAGCACACATGCTCACTGTGCCAAATCAGCATCTTGATTATCAAGTGACCTGTATTCAATTGTTTTTATTTTAAAAGTTCTGCAAAAAGCTTCCGGATCAACTGGAGGAACATTTTTAGCCCACTTTCCTCATTTAAAAAAAATCAAAGTAGGCTTATGAGATCATCATGCTGTCTGGGTGTCTGTGTGTCTGTATGTGTATCCCCCATAACAACTTTGAACGCCTGAACCAACTGTATGATGCTTAGTACATGAAAGTTAAAATTGTACAAAAATAGAATAGAAATGTTTTGTGGTAAAACTCTGCAACCGCTACATGTTGACCTGATTTTATGATGGCAAAAGCGACTATTTTAACTTTCATGTTCTGATCTTCAGTTTCTAATTTACTCTTTATGTCCTTAATTGTAAGTTTTATTATCTAAGCATTTTAAATTTTAAATGTTGACCAAGACTCAATTTATGAACTTAGGCATTTAAATAATTTCAAGACACAATAAGAATCCTTATTCGAAGAATTAGATGAAAATTAATTGCAGTTCAACAGCTGAAACTGGAGCACTGTAAGCCTGATGACCCGGTATAAGCGTCGAAACATGTTGCGTCGTTAAAAACAAAATAAAAATAAATGCTGATACAGTAGTGTCTTCTTTGTTTTTTAAATACAGAATGTTGTTGTGTAGACTGCATACCTATATACGTTTATGTACCTTATTCATAACACACAATAGGATGCACACTATTAAGAGTGTTATATCATGGCAACTGAGCCCATCTCAATGGCTTACTTATACAGGGTGTACCTAAAAGAATGGTGGGATTTCATTGCCGTATATCTCCGTCGGTTTTTGGTGATGAAAAGCAAAACGTATACGGATTCATAACGCGGCTCTCAAGTTTTCATTTTGTATATCGCGCTCTTTCCTAGTTCCATATCCGACAGTTAGGCGGCGTGAAATGTAAGATGGCGACCCAGTAAAAGAAGGCATATTGCGTGCTGCGATTTTAGGTGTCTAAATCCATCGTTACAGTGCGCTGTGAATTTCGTGTACGTTTTCAGAATGAGGCGCCACATGAAAACAACATTCGCAGATGGTACCGGCAGTTTGTGGACAGTGGATGTCTCTGTAAAGGCAACGAAAGGTGCGCACACAGAGGCACTTTGATGGATGCACATAAAATTTGGGCAGTTAAGCTTCCGAATGACATATTATGATTGTACACGGTAAGAAATACGAAATATATACGTGTCTGAAACCCAACCATTCTTTTAGGAGCACCCAGTAAATCTCTCCCGTCAGTAATACCGACACTAAGGCCTTCCAAACTGTTAAGGTAACAACATTAATATTACTTGAATGTCTGAACGAATCTTCATTAAAACTTGGTATACATATCATATATCAAAGGCCATGCCAATCACATAGATTGCAGCAATTTCACCAAACAATTTAAGCGTACTTAATGGCCATGTAGGTCGAAACATGTGTAAATAGGACAAATAAAGTGAACAGATGAGAGTTTTAATTGAAAATTAAATTCTGAATTAAAACTTTAGTATAAGTTACATGGTTACGCAGTAGCATAGTTGGTTGAGGCACTATGCTACAAGCCGGAATGTCGCGGGTTCAAGTCCCGTTAAGGTCATTGGATTTTTTTTTCAGTTGATCTAACCCTTCCAGCCTCACTATGGCCCTGGAGTTGACTCAGCCTCTAACAGAAATGAGTACCAGAAATTAATTAAATAATTTTCCAGGGGAATAAAGCACGGCTGGTGCAAAAGACTGACAACTTCTCCGCCATGTTTGAGCCGATTGTCTAGATAAGGAGGGACCCTCAAAGTCTCACAACCCTATCGGCCTTCACGGCCTGTTACAGGGACAGCTTTACTTTTTTTCTTTATTATAAGTTACATGAACAATGCAAACGAATACGTGAAATACGTGTATATTGATTTGTTTAAATATAAAAAATAAACACTTGAAGTTCACCTGACTTCTCGACAGTCAGCCATACTAAGTAAGGTGTGGACGGCCATGTTATGTATCCTGGGTGTGGGGTCACCTGACTTGGACAGTAGTTCGGGGAGTAGACGGTCCACACTACGTGCCACCTCAGCAGGGGTCACCCTGTGAGGAAAAAATTATCAGCTCTCAATCAAGTGCAACCCATCATTTGAATATTGAGATGAGATAATTTCTTCTGCAATTGTAACACAGTTGTTTTGTACATTTTAATGCTGACATTTTTCTCTTCTCCATTATGTTCATACTGGCCCTTGAGTCCATCCAGCCTCTTATCAAACTGGTGCCAGAGACATTGTTCTCCTGGGGTAGAGAGGCAGGGGCTTGAAGTTCACCACTCATCTCCATCTAGTGCTGAGATTAATAAAGCCTGGGGTTATACCTCAACTCCCACACACATCTTCATGGCATCATGATTAATTAAACATAGGAGAAACAAGTTAGGCAAGGAAAATTTGCAGCATTTCGTACATCAATTCAAAGGGGAGCTGATGGTTTCAGGAAAATATATGAAATTCTCAACTAGAGGGTTCTTAGATCAGTCCCCAGTCAGAACCATGGACAAATTTTTCTGCCCATGAAACCTTCACCACTTTGGAATTGTGGAGAATACCCTGTGGTTCAGGTCTCACATCAAGCTGCAGGCCCACTGTACTGACCATCATTCTGACCCTGACATTATGTGTAATAAATTAAGCCCTTTGGATGCCCCAATCTCGAAAATGTATTCTGAATATATCCTTGCCTGATGGACAGTTGCCTGGAAGGTCAACACTGACCAGTGTGAAGGCAATGGACAGTGTGACAGCAGGTTTTAAGATGTGAGATTTGGAGTTCTCATGGCAGTGACTATGAAGGTCACATTTTCTTCTGCAGTGTGACATGTAGTCTAGCAGATATCTACCAATGTTTCAGACAGACATACTGCCTCAGTCTTCATGATAGAAGAGTAAGATTTGCAAGCAAAATGGTCAGTGATGTAGGGAAGGGAGGACAAGTAAACCAGAGGAAGCAGTTTGTGATGAAATCCTGTGGATCTCAAAAGCGCTGTTATTGTACTTTGCTGTCTCAACTCCTCTTCAATACCCCATTTTAATACTCTTTTATTTCCTTCTTTATTTCTTTTTTTTTCAATTTGTTATATCATCTGCTTTTTACATTATTTTATTTTACATTTTATGTCTCCCTGCTTTCATCACATAGTTGTATGGTGTGGTTGTTTTCAGGACCGCAGGCCTTCATTTCACTCTGCTCCAGCCCTTGTCCTTCCTTTCCTATATCACTAACCACCTTTTTCACACTGATTGTTCTTCCACCCTTCAAGTTCCTCTGAAATCTTGTAAAATACCTTTCAGACTACATGGCATGACAGCCTAGGTGACAGTAATCTTAATCAATTCTTAAGATTTATCTTGTCACAACCAGGAAGTGTCTGTTCACAGCAATGCAGAAGGCTGAAATCTTGACTGTACCTGGCTGGCACAAACTCCGTGAAGAAGAGTCTTATGGCTTCAGCTGCTAAACTGTAGACTGCGTATACTTTGTCTCTGAGAGCTCGGTGCAGTAGAAAGATGGCTGCACGGGCTATTTTGTTTGGTGAGTTGTGCTGTTGATCCAAATTGCTGTCCCCTGACACTAAAGCACGTAGCTCTTCTTTGAGCAACCGGAGGCCCTCCTCCTTATCTGAATACTGCTTTGAATAGAACTTTTCTACCTGCAAGTAATATGATGTTACTGCACAGATTTTTTTATGTATTTATGTTAATAATTACTAGTGGGGACTGTAACTGTCAAAAAAAAAAAAAAGAAGTAAAGCTATCCCTGTACCAGGCCGTGAAGGCCCATAGGGTTGTGAGACGTTGAGGGTCCCACATTATCTAGACAATCGGCTCAAAGATGGCAGTAAGGTTGTCAACCTTACGCACCAGCCGCGCTTTACTCCCCAGGGAAATTATTTAATTAATTCCTGGTACTCATTTCTGTTAGAGGCAGAGTAAACCCCATGGCCTAGTGGGGCTGGAAGGATTAGGTCAACTGAAAAAAATCCAATGACCTCATCGGGACTTGAACCCGCGACCTTCCGGCTTGTAGCATAGCCCCTCAACCACTACCCTACAAAGGGGGACTAGGATAGCTCAGTCAGCATAGTGATGGACTTGGACGGGCTGGGTTCGATTCCCGGTAGTGCAAGATTTTTTCTTCTCCACATTGTTCAGACCATCTCTGGGGTCCACCAAGGTTCCTGTCAAATGGACAGCGGGGCTATTTCTCCAGAGGTAAAGCAGCTGGGACATAAAGCTGATGTTGACCTCCATCTCAACCCAAGGTCAAGAAGGGTTTAGCTATGTCTTCATGGCATTAGTGCTAAAATAATTAAGCACAGGGACAGCTTTACCTTTTAGGATTACAAAATGATGGAGTGTGGTACAGTAGGTACAGTTTCTGCTACGCATCTAGAAGGTAATTAATTGGATCTGAGATTCATCTTGACCTTAACAACGGATTCCACCAGGCAAATTCTGGGATTCATCTTGGCTTAACATGATCAAAATTTAGAGGTAAAAACGATGTGCTTACCAAATCAGTCCCATACACAGATATGGGCAGAGCTGCTTGCTTCTTCTCTCGTTCAGTGAGCCGAGATTTGGTTGCCTCAGGTGCCCCATCAAGTTGGTATTCTCTGTGTGTGGTAGTGTGGCAGCTGAAATAAGATATTCATAAGCATGTAACACAGCAATAAATCTTCATCAGGTCATATTTGTGTTACATTTCTTCTGACTTGGGATTCTTTATTGAAAAGTAAGACCGTGGTCAAAGTGGGAACAATAGGTTATGAATGGTGTCAAGAAGGAGGAAGAAGGAGCTCTGAAAGAAATTGAGGAAAAGGAATTAAGGGAGAGAAATAGAGGGCGGGGCTTTATTGCTAGATGATTCACAGAAAATGAAAGTAGCTATGTAAGCAGAAGAAGATATTTTTTTTCTTCGTGTATTCTGGTATGAAGATTTGCAAGCGAGNCCCCCCCCCCCCACAGAATTTTAAGCCGTATGAGACTATTTTAACAGATCACCCTAGGGCATTTGGATTTATGTGTCCTCTCAATCTTCATCTATTTCCAAAAATCGTAAACAAAAATTTGTAATATTTTGTAGCTGCGCCCTCTCCCACACCAAAACCAGAACCCATGTTTCTATTACATTACATTTGATTACAGAGGAAGATTTTTCTGCCAGCAGGTCAGTGCTCTTTTGCGAATTATTATTCAGTTGATGCTCCATACTCATCTATCTCTTCTCCTGATGCTGCTGAAGGCAAGGTGCAGGGAGTATTTGTATTCAAATATTTCATATTGTTGTGCCATTACTTAACATCAGTGCTAGCATGAGTGGTGAATAATGAATTGGAAAGGATGCGAAAGGAAGCTAGGTAATGCCTGGAGGGACTGAGGAAAACCACGGAAATCTCAGTCCCAGCCAAGCACTGAACAAGGCACCTGTCATGTAGAGGTTAGAAGCATTACTACTGAAGTCAAATTGTGCAGTGAATATTTGAAAAATGAGTAGATTTTCTTGCCCCATTAACAGAACAGTTCTTTACTCATGTTCCAATATCCCTTTTTATATCTGTACCCTAGGATTCTAGGTCTCCTTTATTCATTACATGTGAGACCATGTACTTCAGCAATCATGCATTTTAGTTAATGCACTGTCAGTGAAATATTTTACCACAAACTTACTGCCTAAGAGCTGGAACTGTGCGTTCTTCATAAGCCTCAAAGCTTGTTCTAGCAGGCATTCCTGTTCCTCCTGTTGGTTTATGGCGTCTCTGTGAACCCCGAAGATTGCTTTGTGGTTGTTGATAACCATGTGGCTGTTGGTTGGTGGGACTGGTCGTTGGACTTGTCTTGGGATGCTGACATGGGGCTACCGCAAGAAATACAAGGAACATATTTTATAGCCCATTGTGCTTAACACTATGATTATCAAATCATATACAGCATTAGAATATGTATAGCAGTATTAGCTCCACCCTTTCTATAAGATCCAGAAGGAACATATTATATATATAAAATGTTTGATGATTGAATATTTGTGGCAAAGGCTGATTCTGAAGTCTAGTATTTTCTAAGATATGACAAAGCACATTCCAGCAGAAGTTAACCAGTGTTTTGGAGAAAGCAACTGCCTCCACCCTCAGGACTGAAGGGCAGTTCAAACAAACAACCAGCAAGAAGCAGGCAGCAAGCAACTTGTACTTGCTTGACTTACCATGAACATGAAAATAGCATATTACTCTGAAACATTAATGAACTTCTGCTGGACTACATGACATTACATCACAGAACATAATACCCTTCATGGTCTGTGCTGTGAGAATTCAAATCAAACAAATGTTATTGATTGTACAGATATTATCCATTGTGTGAGGTGTATTTATTAAATGAAATATTTCTGGAGTTGGCTTTAATCCCATTCTCAAGTGACTGTTTGCCATACTGACAGATTTTTATGATGATACTGTGACGTGACACCTGAAAGCCAGAATGAACCAGTAAACACATCCTCGAGGTTACGTAGTCAACAGTGAGATTTCTGTTGCTAGGTAGCAAGTCCTCAAACACAAATTCCCACTGCAACAGATACACTGGTGAAGGTGAAATCATTTCCACGCAGTAGAAGAGAAGACACTTGTAGTCCAGTAAGGAATGTAGCGAGTCATAGGCAGTAATTGATTTTGAGCTGTCTTAATTGATTGTAATTGTAAAGAAGTGCCAGTAAACCCAATCATCAAATCCACAACCAATTATTATTAGTCACGCTAACCCCAAATATGTGACATCAGAAGGAAAGGACTTAATGTGGGACCATTTGAATACCAGGCTTTATGCTAACCACTAGACCACTGGGGTGGATAGCGTGCTGGCAGTAACTAAAATATAAAGTGATCACGCTCATGTTCTGGTAGTCAGCATACTAACCTAGCATTCAGAAAGTCCTAGTTTTGATCTAAACTGTCACAGCTAATATCAGGATAAAAAATAATAAAAATTTAACAGACCAGAGGTAACCAGCACTTAAAGATGGTCATTGTAGAAATCAATGATGCTGTCATGTTTTAATGAGTAGACATGGGGTTTGGATGGATTATTGGTTTTATTGGACACTTATAACCCGTGACTAAACTAAAAATCTCTGTAACACACACTAGTCTTCTAGTGTCTTCTAGGCGTTGCTTGGTTATGGTTTCCAACAATTGAGACTCCTCAACTTCCTTCTTCACACATGCCTGCCAGAACCTTCCAGCTGCATCCACCCGCAGACACCGCCGCAACTAACTCAGAGTCAGTGTTACTTTATGACTGGGGCTTTACCGCCAATCATTTTGTCTTGGCGCCAATCCCCTTGAGGCTCATGACCAGAGATCTTTTTTTTCGGGCAAGTGAACCCTTGGGAACATAGTTCTTATGTAACATCCTCTGTAATGAGAGGGTGTATTTGATTCTTATAAATAGGCTTGGCCTTTCATCAAGTGTATGTATTGCACAGATAGCATTAAATTGAAATTTCTTCCCTTTGCACTATATACAAGTCCTCTGTCAGTCCAGTCTTTGCAAAGCAGATCTTGCCTGTCTTACTTATCTTATGTTACAATGGAAGCTTAGTCACTTGAAAGGTCATAAGTATATTTTCTATGTCTAGCTTTGCCTTGTTCTATGCTGCAAACATAGTCATTCTCATGATTTTATGTGACTTCTGCTTATTGCCTGCACAAATTTATTATATGATTGTATACATATGGAAGATTGAAAGTTGAGTGCAAATTGTGGAGTGGTATGCACCTTGGAAAGTTTTCAATGGTGCGGAGAACCTTGTTTTAAAGGCACTGCAAATTTAGGAGGTAGATGTCTGCCACTAATTCCCAGGCCGGCCAAGTATAAGCCATTACTTATTTAATCAGTGCTTTATGGAGGGTTAGTTTAATACAGGCTTAAACGCTCACTTTTGGATAGGAAGTAGATTTTAATAAATGTTTTCTGTGTGCAGTCTCCATGTCATCCCCTTATTGAAGACTACTCCGAGATATACAACATGACTGACAAAGGGGATATTCCATCCATTCAATATAAGATGAGCCTCAGGGAGCCTAAGTCTGTGAGAAAAGTAGATAACCTGATCGATTTTTATGTTCCAGTGCTCACTTCGGTTCTCAACAACACTGAGACCTCGGTGTATCTTTCTGAGAACATAACCCTTTCTGTGGTATGTTGCATATATACAGGTGTCATCAACAGAAAGGCCTAGATAGCCACCAGTTTTTCGGGGTGTATAATTTATATTATCATGTGATAGAGTGACTATAGACAGAGTTTGAATCCGTATTTTATTTATTAAACTCTTACAAATGCTTTTCACTAATACACACACTTTACAGGTCACTGGAACACACACTTGTATCTTCTCAGCCTGCAATGTCTTCATCAGTGTTCTGGTAATGGCTTGCAATGGCGGACATTCACCTTCATGTGGGTTCCCGAACTGTCCCCGACCTCAGCTACTGGCTTCTCTCAGTAACAGCTCACAACAGCAGAGCCCCAGCAATTATCTAACTCACTCACAAATCAAATGACTCCCCTCCACTCCACTGACTGACTAACTCTAACTCTCCTCTCACTAACTGTCCAGCTTATAACATCTTGGCTTGCACTACACAGAGAACACCATTCCTCTGTTGTTTAAGAACCGTTGCCTGATAACGACCCTTATGTAGTTGTTTGTTTTGCTGTTGTTGCCCAGCAATGGGTCTACACGCCACAATTATACTGTACAATGTGGGAGTGAGGACGGAAGCTTGTGGCACCCCTGCTTTGTTTATCTCTTGGCACAATTATTTCATCTTCGATCAAGACTCTGGATTTTCTGTGAGATAATTTAGCTAATTTATACAGAAAGCCAATGTGCCTTGTTGTATCAAAGGCCTTTTTCAATATCCAAGAATAGAGCAGCTGTAGAACGTTATTGTTAATGTCATACATTGAAGTGTTGTGCTGTGACGGGCATGGAAACCAAAGTGGCTTACATTAAGCAGGCATATTTCTTCGATGTGGCTTTGAACTATTTTCAAAATAAGTTTCTTGAATAGCTTGCCTATGGTGGACAAGAGGCTAATCAGATGTAAATTTTGAGGAAATTTTGGGACCTTACCAGATTTCGGTAATGTTATAAATTTTACTTCCTTTCAAAACCTTGGAAAATGGGACAACCGAAGGCAGTGGTGCAACAATGTGCCAGATTTACCAGTGGTATTCTTGGAAGGTACCTGAATCATTCATTTGGAATACCACCAGGTCCACAAGTCTTTCTCAGTTTCAGTGAATTTACTAATTAATGACTATCACAGGGCCCTACTTTCCCGAACAGGTTACCATCTACAGATGCGAGTAGAGCTTGGACTCTAGCATCCACCCGTTTCACATGGGTTTCATCACACAGGTCATGAGACGCGAACTGATTTTCTAAGCAATTGCAGTCGCATTGGTTTTCTCATTTGGGTGGTATGTTGTTTTCATAGGGCCATGAACCTTTGGTCCATACTTTCTCATAAGCGATTGCCACAAAGGTAGAGATGTGACTTCACAAATCTCTATTTTTATTTTCCACCATTTGAATGCCTTTTTATTATGGTTTTAGTGGCCCAGTTAACTGCCATTTTACATGCTGGATCCTGTGTTGCTTTCCACAGTGTCCTTAACCTCATTTTATATTTTAGCAGACTCTCCAGACCAGGTAGATACTAATGTAGGTCCGAGAGTGTAAGTTTGCTTGTCGACAGCCTATAAGCCGAAGCTATAGAGGCAGTTAAGTCACAGGCCACCTTATCGGCTTCTTCTCCCAAGTTTATTTGCATTGTAGGTGAAATTAATTAAGAGGCATGGCTTTGGAAGATCTCACAAGCTTTGAATTTGTCAACTTGATCTGAAAGCTTCCTACTTCTAACATGATCCAGCAAGTGGAAAACGATTGGTAGCTGATCTGAGTCCAGACCATCTGAAACAGTGACTTCTGACAGCCGGACATTCTTGTGCACAAACAATATCGAGCACATCACCAATGCCTGCAGGAGGGTAACGAGTGTAACATTGTGGTGCTGAAATTTCAGACTCATTTATATGCAATAAATTCAGTAGTTTTGCACTTGAAAAGTTGGAGAAATACGTTTTTCCAAAATGGATGTTTTGCATTCAAATCTCCTGCCAGTAGCAACTTGTGTCTAAAACAGAAGAGCTTAATGATGTCTGCATCATTCCAGGTGTGGTCTGGTAATTTATAGATGGCTGCAAGTAGCACTTCACTAATACCAGTCGGTATGTAAACCTCTGTGACTTCTATTGAAACATGAGGAAGAAGGTCTACAGGATGGGAATGCACCTTTTCTTCTCGGGAAGCGGTCAGTACGATAATAGTTATAATTTGGAATGAGGAACCTCTCATAGGGTTTGAAATGTCTCTTAGGGAAGAGTCACATCTGTATGTAAGTCTTGCAGATGTTTACTGAGCTCATAGCGCTGCCTCCAAATGCCATTTGCATTAAATGCTATGACTCTGAGCAGCATATGAACTTTAGCAGCCACTTTGTTGCATTAAATTAAATACCATTCTTATAATGACCATAATTTTGTCTTTTTCTGGCACAGCTTCACTGAGCTGTGTCATGGTCTGTTGCACTACAGTGGCAACTTTTAACCTGTCACTGATATACGAACTGGGAGCCTGTACTAAACAGACCTGTTCTTTGAATTTCCTATTTTGGCAGATGCTGCTAAACGGTGAGCCGAAAGCTCTTCCTATATGTCTGCGGTGCCTGTGGCTGCTGGTGTTACATGTCTTGATGCAGTGCAGCTGCGAAGAACTGCTCTGGGGAGGTGAACGTAGAGAAGAACGTTCTCTCAAAGGATAATTTTGGAGCTCGTTGTGTTCTTCTGTTTTACATTTCTCTTTTAGCTTGACTGCAACCTCGGTATGACACTGGATGAGGTTTCTCTCCTTCTACTAGGGTGCACTTGCATAGATTCTGTATTCGCCTTTTCGGGGCATTCCCTATGCAGGTGGCCACCACCGCATCACAAACGTTGAAGAGGAGGGGGGTTCATTTGCAGTTGGCCCATACATGGCCAACGTCTTGGCATTTGTAGCACTGTGTAAAGCCAGTGTGAGCTCTGAATAACTCTACCTTGATGATAATATGGTTAAGGCTATTCAGCTTGCATATCTTTTGAGATTTTATATTATTTTAAGGTGAAAAGAAATAGAAGGAGGGGTTCCATATGGGTTTGTTCAGTGGATATTGTTCAAGCGAACATTATTTGCCTCACATTGATGAGATTAAAGTCTAAGTCCTCAAGACTGTTGGAAATATCTTCCGCTGGCGTGTCTGGGGAAAGGTGTCGGACTACTGTCTTTATAGGCTTTTTGGAATTGGAGGAGAAGCTAAAATAGTACAGATTATTTTTCTTCAGATAGGATATCATGACTGAATAGTCCGTCATTTCTTTTCTTACGATACGGGGCTCATTCAGTGTATTTCGAAATTCGTACTCTCCTATGATAGGTCTTTCAAGTCGCTTTGGAGTCAAATGGTGTTTATAGTAGAAGTCATCATCATTGGTGGCGGCCTACCTGATTTTCTAGGAGCCTCGTGTTCCGTTGTATGTTCTCTACACCAGTAGTCTCTGTGTCCATGTCAGTAGTTCTGAGAGGTGCGAAGAATTTGTGAGTTAACATTGCTTTTGGAGACAACTTGGCAGCTGCAGATGTTGGGACCCTTTGATGACTGCTAGGTATTATTAGTGATATGCCTCTTGCATCTCTTTACTTCATTGAAATCATTGTCCTGGGCCATTGATTCGACTGAAGTTTGTTCAATACAGCACTTTGTCCTGACTATGCATTCACCTTCAGAATTGCTATTGACAATAGAGGTCCACTGAGAGCTTCCCCCCACTTTAGCCGGTGTACATCTGACAAGGTTCTCAATGTCACTGAGCACTTTTTATACTAATTGCACTACAAAAGCTGCTTCTGGGTATTATTCATGATGGTGTGACATTCAGATTTCAGCGATGGTAGCTTCTTTGTCCAGTATTTCCGCAATCCTGGTACTGGGACGTCCGCCATTTTGATGTACACTCAAGTTCACCACTTGTTCTGATGTTCGCACAGAATTGCATACACCAGCACCAAACGGAGTTGGCCATGTACACACTACATAAAGTTAAGTTTGTAAAAGCCACTCTGTCCTACACACGTTTCGTTCAAATCACTAAACCCAATCAAGATCTGGTGTAGATTTTACCATGACCTCCCCACCAATTCACTCCGACTCACTTCCCTCCTCCCACTCCCTAACTGCAATTAACTCAACATTCTCAAATCTCCCATTGGTTCTCTAGCCTCCATATGGGCTGCATAGAAAACTCCACTAGCAACAATTCCTCTGTTATTGCTTGGTTATTTGTTACCTTGAAAAACGTGTTTACCGTGCCATTGCCCAACAATCGATGTATTTTCTGGATCTGCTATTCTGACTCTTATCCGTCATGTCACAACAATTATATTTCCTAGAATTACGTTTAATTTTGTTAGATTTTGGGTCCACTCAGCAGTGACTATGAACAGTACTGCCTTCTATGATGTCACGCCATGTAGTCTGGTAGAAAATACTGCCTCAGTCTTCAGTGTCAAAAAGTACGGTAAGCAGGCAGTAAGCTGTGTCAACCATGATATCCCAGTAGACTTGCATTTTTTTTATAAATTTTGAATTTCATTTATAGCAGTCTTCTAGTCATATTTTACATACATTTTACTTTTGTTTTTATTCCTGTCAGCTGATTTATTTCCTCATTTGTCGAATTTTGTATTTTCTAACATTTACCAGTGATTATTAATCATCTTCCATATTTTTCTTAAAACCCATAAAAATCTCAATAAACTTCATTGTATGTGCCTTTTCATGTACCTAACTTGTCATCTTTTGCCAGTATCTCAACACTCTCAAGCTTCTTCCAGTTAACATTTACATAACACTTTATTTATTGTGCTGTTTTCAGTATGAGACTTAAACTTCTTTTGTGTTTGTATTCCATACTTCTGTCTGCTAAAGCTTTTTGTTTAACTGGCGTTTCATACAAGCCTATCAGTATCTTCTCACTATTTTTGTTGTTTTGAATATGTTAACGTATTTTTTCTGATACTAAACAATGATTAATACCTTATTTCATATCAATTGTAATACAACATACTCTATTGTATTTAATTATGCTTGGAATGCATAAAAACATATATGCTAAATATGGATAGAAACAAAGGAAACGCTGAAGCTAATGAACATGACACAAAATGGTGCTGTGTGCTTGCATGTTGACTTTGCAAAGGATGCATTTCCTTATATTCATTTGAAAGGAGAGCCATGCTTTAGCAGTGATAAATAATGCAGTTAACTGAAGCAGCACGCAAGGCGTGTCCTTCAATAAATTATAGGGTATAATATAAACTGAGGAAAAAATAGGCATGTGTACATAGCAGTAGTTTTCAAACATGAAGAACATGAATAAAGAGATAAAGAATATAATAAATTTTGTGGATCTTACGATAAACAGAAATGAATCAGATATCACATGTTGAACATACAGAAAACTAGCATGCATGAACGTGGAAGCAAATACTGAATCATATGAAATAGATGAGTACAAGATGGCAGTTTTCAGATGTTCAGTTATATTTAACAGAATGGACAGCTTATGATTAAACAGAAAGGAAGGATGAGTTAAGTGTCACACAAAATGTAAGCAAGCTCACAAATTAACATAATAAGTAAATACAAAGATAAATAAAAAATGGAACATACTGAGACGAATCTAGATGGAAGCAGAGAGGGTCAATGACCAACATGGCTGAAATTTGCCTCCTTCTGGTATCAAATTAAGATTGTTATAAAAATATGTAAACGTGTAAATGGAAAGCTGATTTTTAAAATATGAATTACAATATCTTAAAAATTACTAGTAAGGCAAAGAATGGGTTGAAATTTTAGGATAACCCAGTATTAACATCATCTGCATGATGCAAGATTAAACAAAAATAAATCAGAATGTACTAAACTTTCTGAATTAAAAGTACAAATATGGAAAAACTGATTAAATTATAGAAATATTGAAAGTGATTTCAAAAGACTATCTCATGAGCACACGGGAACCACTAATACGTATGAAGAAAACTTCGTACTGAAAGCAGAACATGTAAATTGACACAGTGGCTGCGTGTGTATTGTCTTCAGTGGTTTCTCGACTTTGGTACTAGGTGGAGGTGAATTGTTAGCTTCGCATCCTAACCACTTTACACCATGGAAAGAGTCTGCGGTACACATCTGACAGGAGTGCGGGTGGGCCCCAGAACAGGTCTGATAGAAGTGGAAGAGAGAAACATCTCTTTCTCCGTTAGCAATCAAAACAGTTTCCACAAACAGAATTTTTTATTTATTTCTTGTTTCCACCTACACTTCCTCTCCTGTGTCTAAATACCCATGCAGAAGTACACCAGGGCCGCAGAAAGAAATCCCATGGCTCAACTCCCTCTATTTCCCTTTGGAGCCGGTATGCTTCCATCTGCAGTGCACTTTCCTTTATTCCTCTCCGGTCATATCTGATTTCTTCAGTCAAATATTTGTAGTGACAATCGCTTGAACTTGTTGAAAGGTGTAGTGGGGACCGGAGTGGAATAGAACGATCATGGATGGCGCAGACAATGAGAAATTCTGCCTCCCTCAATTAAATACAAATCTTCTTTCTCAAAACTTCGTCACAGTAAGCCAAAATCCCCAGACCCTGTGACGAAAACTGCCATTGGTGTCTTCCTTCAAACGTGAGTTGAAGAATCAGTAATAAAAATTATGGCGTCATCCTGTCAGAATAAAGGCGTAGTTAGTCATTGTTGGCTTGTGATTATAGAATTAGTCAACAATGCCAGAACTTTCGGTTCAGTTATGTTTACATTGTTGCGTGACATATTGTCTCAGCATAGATTTGGCCTTGTACAATACAATATTCACAGTTCACTCTACCCTTGAGTCCAGTATGTTCCTCCTCACTTTGTGAACACTAGGTTTCTGCAGTTTTATTATGGTTTATAGTGTGTGAATGGTAGTAACAGGTGCAGAAATTTGCATGCCTACGAGTGACTCACGCGGTGCGGGGCTCTTTGGTCGTGAGTGAAGGTGCAGCGGTGATACGGGACTCTGGTGCATTGCCGGGCTGTTCTGGGTGGGAGGTATCCCTCCTTCTCTTCCTGGGAGACCCCCCGGTACCTGAAGCAGCCGCGGGGGTGGTGGTAACTCAGGCCGCTTACCCCCAGGCATTGATATTTCCAGACACTCGTCATTTTTTGCTAGTGGCTGCAACAGAGAAGTGATTATTACATCATCATAGAGATTTGAGGTGTTCATTTGGTGAGAATTAAGACTGTGGTTGTGAGAGTGTTCAGATCCATAGATGATTCCATGACCCAGAGACTGCAGTCATAGGCTGCAATAAGTTAAATTAAGAGACCAAAGCTCTTATTGCTTCTGGAGGAAACCATGGCCTATATTCTTAGTTTAATTTCTAATTAATTGCTCTTTGGTTATCGAGATACACTTTTTGAGCTGCAGAAGTTATGTAGCATAAAATGTTAGATGCTATATGAATTATGAGTGAGGAAAGATGTATAACTAAGTGTCCAGTGAGCGGCCTCCATAGTCTAGGGGTAACGTTCCCACCTCGTGACTCAAGGTACATGGGTTCAAACCCATCGGAGGTCGTGGAATTTTTAAGGGCGGAAAAATTCAGGGAACAAGTCCTCCAGGAGGGACTTTAAGCCGTGGGTCCCGTGTCGTAGCTTTACGGCACGTAAAAGAACCTCATATCCCAAGGGGACCTCTGAGCCAAATTCAGGACATTTCCCGCCCAACAGTAGTCTCTAACGCCTCTGGTAGATGGGGGAAGCATCAAGATACCGCTGAGCCAGTAGAGGCCGAACTCTCTGGCTGAGTCGGGACTGATGGTACGCACCAGTACCGATAGGGTATAGAAACTGGTAGAATATCACAGGGAGATGCACAATGGACCAATATCTGGTCTAAGTGCATGGGAAAACCCACCCTCTCCAATAACAACAACAACAAGTGTCCAGTGCCTACACTATACAAGTATTTGCTGGAGGTAACCGAAGAAAGTCATGAAGTCTTCAGACCGAAATTTAAACTAGAACACTCTGGAATATGTAAGTGGTATGCTGATGGATTTCTAACGCCGTTCCTATTTGTAATGGATTCGCAGTATGTTTTCTGTGCGGCGGAAATTGATTTATTAACCATTATTTAGATGAACTTCAAGCTTGAAGGGAATGACTGCAACTGTCATGGGATCTGGACATTTTGAATATAATAATAAAAATTAAATGTAATTACAGATCCCTGGTGTTATTTTTTCTACACTACATATTCTTACAAGTCTAATAACTCCTCACCCCATTGATTTCAAGAAGGTCATCGACTTCCAGGAATTGATAGACAGTACGTCTGTACTCATCCATCTGAGCTTTCTTCAATTTGGCACGTTCATAGTCTTCAAGTTGGATGGCATGTCGCTTCTCCAGTTCATATTTACTAAGCCGCTCTCCTGCACTGCGAAGATCCTCCATCGCCAGCTTCAGTTTTCGTGCAAACTCGAATCTCTCACCTGAAACAAATATGAAGACAGTAAATTATTTGGTGGTGAATTTGAATTAGGAAGTGTACCCACTTGAGGTTTAGTTGTGGTCGAAGTTACTTGTGAACAAAATACAGAGATTCTGAATGTTAAAGTAGGTGATACTATAGTTATCAATAGTTACCACTACAATTTAAAGGGTTAAATGTGCAGTTATCATGTGAACTTACAAATGACGGCTTGCTGCTTCTTTGCCTCCATGTTGCGGATGATTCTGGCAACTTCTTGATCAACATACATCTCAAATGCTAGATCATCGTAAGGGGATGTGTATTTTGGATTGTTCACCAGGAGCAGAGCATTGTTGTTACCATTGTTAGTTGAATGGGAGGGAGTTGCTGTGGTTGATTCATGTCCTGTGCCGTTGTTATTCTGCTCTGAATCAGGCTTTTCTAGCTCAGATGATGCTGATGATGTACTTGCAGAATCTAGATGCTGGCCTAGCACATTGATTGCTATCAAGGCAACCTAAGGAGAATAATGTTAGTACCAGAAAGAGTTCCACTTCTGAGTGAACAGCACACAGACTGTTGGAATTGAGGTTCTTAAAGCGGCAACTGTGAAGAATACTGTCTTCTGGCCTGAGATTCTATATAGTCCAGTCGAAATTCACCGGCTTTTCAGAGGTTCATACTGCCTCCATCATCAGGGTCGAAGAATAAATAAAGTAAGCAACAACAATGCTGCCTACATCCTGTTGGCTGCATGCTTGGATCACACCCTGAAGAGTGAAGCAGTAAATTCCTCCTAAAAGCCAGTGAACTTCTTCTAGACTTCACGACGTCGCATCCCATAAGATAGTACTCTTCAGCACGAAGATTTAATCATATATATATATACAGGGTTATTAAGAAAGAATGAATCGATTTCATGACTCATTGCTTCAGTTCTCAAGCATCGTCATGAAATGAGTCAGTGACCATTTGAAAGAGGAGTTATCTAAGTTCTGAATGGCTGCCACAGGGGCGCTGAAGCCGCATCGTTCTTCCGGCAACGTTCAGTTATTCGTTTACCCTCGGAATGGCGAGTCCTCGGCAAAAGGCGTTCTGTGTTCTCGAGTTCGCGAAAACAAATTCGGTTGACACGGTGCAGCGTGCTTTTCGAAGGCGATTCGGCATTAATCCGCCCTGTTCTAAGAACATTCGACGGTGGTTTCGACAGTTTCAAGAGAGTGGGTGTCTGTGTAAAGGAAAAAGTCCAGGACGACCACGAGTCTCGGAGGAACAAGTGGCGAGAATCCGTGCTGCTTTTGAGAGGAGCCCGCGGAAGTCAACAAATCGAGCTTGCGATCCTCAATCCACTGTCTGGCGTGTGCTAACAGTACGTCTACATTTGAAACCATACAGACTGCAGCTCATTCAGGCACTTACCAATGACGACAAAAGGAAGCGGATTGAATTTTGCGATTCGATGCTGGAGATGATGGAAGACGAAACCTTCATTTCACGTTTAATTTTTAGTGATGAAGCGACTTTTCACTTGAGCGGCACAGTCAATCGTCACAATGTGCGTATTTGGGGAACAGAGCACCCACATGAAACAGTTGAGCACGAAAGAGATTCCCCTAAGGTGAACGTCTTCTGTGCTGTGTCTCAGGACAAGGTTTATGGTCCCTTTTTCTTTGAAGGAAACACCGTTACAGGACAAACCTATCTCGATATGCTCCAAAACTGTCTCTTCACTTCACTGCAAGCAGATTCGCATGAATCTGAATAAAAGTGGGGATACACGAGCACGCCACGGCTGCAACGCGGCATTACAAGTGATGCGCGGAGTGATTTGGTGCACCTCGAACAAGCGACGCGCACGCAACGAACCATCTGAATGGG